CGACACTTTGCAGCTTGAGAAATCCTTAAGCAAGAGGCAGGACAAAAAGCTGGTAGGAGCGTCACGGAGCCTGGGCCCTCGAGGTTCTAGACCACTGGGGCGGGAAGAGGGGTCTGCAGGGCTCTCCTCGGTGCCCTGAGATCAGTGGGGACAGGCAGAAGAAAGTCACTGCTTTCCTTCGCTTCCTACGGGGCTGGGGCGGGGAGGGCAGCCTGTCAGCGTTTTTTAAAAGTTCTTCGTGTCTATAGGGGTTTCAAGCTTTCCAGGGGCGTTCCTTCTACGCACTGACACTTCAGGGAACTGAGAGACCGAGGCGTTTCCAACACACGCTCTTCATTACACTGATAGCAGGCGTGAAAAGCAAGCCAGTTCAATCAGAACATAGCCTGTTGCTTTTCTGCCTGCCTTTGGCCAGGATGAGCTCCTGTTTCCAGCTTCATAGAGCTGCAGGAAAATGGGAGGGTCCTTATTTCAAATTTCTGAAGTGGTTTCTGAGAGAGGGGGCTTCATGGAGGGGGGGGGAAGCTAAATTGAATTTTAAGAGCATGTTTCCTGCTTGCCTGTTTAGAGAATTTTTGGTCCAGTTGGTTCATGAATTAAAGACGCTTTCTATCAGGGGTAGAGAGAGATCCGTTCACCCTTTCTCGGCAGACCTGCCCTGCCCCTCCGAGCACCAGCTTTCTGCTTAACCTGAGACAGGCAGGCTGTGGGGCAAACCGATCCGCCTGCTTCCTCAGGGCCGGGGCGGAGAGCAGGCGGCGCTCACTTACTGAATCAGGTAGCTTCCAGAGAGTCCCGGTCGTGCCAGCTGTAGGCTCCCAGCCGGACTGGCGAGCAGCTGCAGGTCCCGGGTTTCGACCCCAGTCCCAGAGCGGATACAGGCTGGACCACTCCCAGCCCTCTGCGTGCCAGCTTTTCCCACGGAGGAGGCAGTCACTGCAGACGGTGGCAATTCAATTCCCTTCCGTTTCAGCGTGCTGCAATTGACTGGGGAATCTAATTTTCACAACAGGCTGACTTAGTGACGATGGCACCAGCTTGGCTGGGGCACCAATCCACCGGCAGTCTGACAGCACAGGGCCTCGTGAAGCCGTCTCTTTTCAATGAGCGATGCTCACGAAAGTGGGTACTTCGAAGGAAAGGAGCCATCTCTTGTCTTATTTTCTCCCCAGTATGAAAAAAACCAGCCTATGAAGAGTATTGGTGAGCTTCTTAGAGGGATGCATTTCTTATTTATCGATAGCTTAGAAGAAGAAATTCTTTGGTTCAAATGACCTTCTGCCTCTCTAGACTTGAACTGGAGTTCCGTTCCAGGTACCACTCACGGGTGCACATGCAGGTTCACCGTCCTTTCTATTCCAGCCGTCCTTGGTCACTCCCTTGAGCCTTAGCTAAGAATGGACTTTGGAATGTGTGGAAGGGCCAGAGGGTGGCAGAGCTGAGCCATTTATCGTGGCTGCTCTGGAAACAAACGAGACACATTATAACCTAATAGGTGGGAAGTGGCTGGGATTATCTGTCTGCCTAATTGCTGTGCCCTACCTCGGGCTCCCAGGAAGAGCTGCAGCTGGGAGGCGGGGAAGTCCCAGCTCCTCTGTACCGGCATCGGCTCTCTCTCTGTGCACAAGTACTGGTCTCTACGTGCAAAGGTGTGGAAACCAGCGGACCAGCCCCTGCACCTAAACCATTGCCCCCACGGTAGCACTTGGCATGCGTCTTCCTAAGGCGAGGTATTTGCTGTACTCAGACTCAACAGGAAATTAAGGAAGGTTTGTCTGTCCTCTCTGTTGGAGCCACCTAACACGTATGTGGCCTAAATTATGTAGTTCGATTTCCTATAGTGATGAAGTCCATGTGACCGACTGCTAAATCCTCGACATACACGAATGGTAACATCTTTTCAAGCATGCTCCATTCCTAATTCACGATGGCAGCTTTGACTTCATAATGATTAATGTCCCCCCCCTCCCTGCCGCTGTTCCTCGTTGATAAAGCAGAGCAAGAGGAAAAACGAATCTGCAAATTTTGCAAAGAAGAAAGGCGACGAGAGCTGTGTGGGCCCGTGTACGTGCGCATATTTACATGCGTGTCTGCCCGGGAGGGTGAGAAACCAGAACGACCTGAGGCTTCTCGCTGCGTGACTTCCCACAGAGCAGCAGGAGCGCACAGGGTGAGGGGCCGCCCGCACCACTGTCCCCGCTGTGTATTTAGAGAAGCGAAAGCTTGGTCATTTAACTGTTCTCCCAGCACATTAGTGGTGGGACAAAATCTCAGACTCGCCTCGCTGCCAGAGCGCATCTGTCACGTTTCCCCCCTTGAGGGACACCGAGTCAGGGGTAGCCCGAGGGCAGAGTTCAGTGACGCCCCTCTCTGTGTCTGAAAGAGATGATTCTGTCGTCCGATGGATCCCGCCGACTAGACCTGGCAGCTTCCGGTGGGCCCACAAGTTGAATGTGGGGACAGAGGCTCAGGGACCCAGCAGAGGCTGGGCAAGTGGCCCCATGATTTCTTGGTCCATTTCTTGGTCCAGGAGACCCCAGGCCCCTCGTCCGAGGGGCCCGGTCTGGGATCTGCGGATGTGGCCGTTTGAGGGGAGGCAGGGTGTCAGAGCCGCTGGCGCTGCCTCCAGTCCCTGATGGAGACCTGCTGCCCTTGTCACGAGGCTTCCTGGGGCTTCGGACTTTCCCGATGCCGACCAGCGAGGGGCAAAGTAGAGAGAAGGGCTTCTTTAATTTGTTTCATTAAAAATGATTTTCCCTTTCAGTAGAGTGAATGAAGTGCTAGAGAAGGGGCTGCCAGCCTCTGCAGGGGCTCTCGGGCCACTTCGAACTGCGGTTTCCTCCTCCCTTCAATAAAGTGAGTGCAGTGCTAATGAAAGGTGCTGGGGACTGCTACTCTGGCCTTGAACTGGCCGTAGTTCAAGTCCCTCGGTAACGTTTCCTCCTTTAGGCGCGTGTTTGCGGTGGGGAAAAGGGTGGTGCTAGATGGGAGGCTCCCGCCCACTCGGCTCCCACCCGTAAATGCTTCTTGGAAAAAAGGAGTCTAGTGTCTACCCCACACCATCCAAGGCTAGAATGCAGTTTGGCTTCCTGGACTGCACAGGCCAAGAGAATGGAAGGCCATCGACCCCGGAAACGGAGTGTAAATAGCTCTATCCCCAAGCCCCAACGCCAAATCCCTTTTTGGCCGCATAGTGCATTTTCTTGACCTACGTCACTCTAGATCCCTGTCTGGGCCCGCTCTCTTGGCCTCTGGAGACATCAGCTATTGTGCATCTGGGTGTGGGAGAAAACTCCCTGTGGGAAGGTGCTTCAGGAAGGAGCGAGGCTCCCTGTGTCTCATCTCTGTCCTGGCCCAAGGAGGGGGCACTAAAGACACAAGCAAAACCCTAAGCTGCAGTACAAACTGATTGTCAGCTCTGTCTTACCACCTACCTACTTCGATCTGAAGCCACAACACCAATGTGCAAAGGAAGAAGTGCGACCCCAGTCACTGACCGGAGCAGGGAGAGCCCCAGATACAGTGGGGCCAGCATGGGGGGCAGCGTGGAGTCAGCAGCGAGCTGGCCAAGGCCACTGGACACAGCCCACCTCGCAGCCCTCCTGTCTGCGGATGGCTGGGTCCCTCTGCACATCTCCCCCACTTGCAGTCGCTTCCTGGGCTCTCCCTCCCTTCCTGGGGTGCCCTAGCTGTCCGGGGGTAGATCCGGCACTTCAGAGTTAGAAGGAAAGAGAAATAGTTATCACATGTTAAAGCTAAACAAAGCACCAAAAAGGAAAAAAAAAGACTTATAAAAATATAATGGGGTCATCCCCCCACGCTTCCCACATTATTTGCAGTCTATGAAATGTCAAAATATAATGAACAGACTCTCAGCACAGTACTGTTCCCATCCACCTGTGTGTGTCTGAGCTGAGCAGCCTTGGCTCTACCCTTCGCCTCCTGCAGTTAGTTCTGCTCTGCAGAACCCGCCCTGCATCAGCTCGGTTCATCCCGTGGACCCCACCTCCCCAGGACACAGCCGCTTGCAATTCCAAAGAGACGTTCCAAAAAAATAGACATTTGAAAAAAGTGCATCTGTTCACAGTCTATGCATATTATTTCTTGAGATTATTACTTTTTTCTTTTTAACCGTAAAAAAGATTGCATATTGGCAACATGATGAGAAAACCATGGTGGCCACTTCTGGGTGGAGGGTAAGAGGGGCGGGTGCGGAAGCACAGAGGCGAGAGGGCTCAGAGAGGGGCGGGTGCGGTCCTGAGCCCCCAGACAGGAGGATCCAGGCGGGCTTGTCTGGATCCTCAGTGCTTGGGCCTCTGAAACGTCCCCTCTCTTCAGTCCTTTCTCTCCTCTCCGCCCTTCCCGCCTCCTTGCTGCATGCTCTGGCAGCCCAGCCCTCTCGAGGCAGCGGCAGAATGGCAATAGCTTTTTGGCACGTGTCCCCCTGGGCCGGATGGAAGACAGGCATGGCGTTTGGAGGGGCTCGACGTGGGACACACACCAGAGCAAGCTTATTTGTGACTGTTTCCACTCAGGGAAAAATTGTCCATCACTTCTGTGACTTTAAAAATTTAAGCAGTTACTAGGCTGATAGGTTAAGAAAAATCTTTTGCTCTCATGGTTTCGCATTAATATTAAGCATGAATAGATATCATATATTACATTGCTTTCCTGCAGCTCTGGGGCAGACTGCACTCTTCTTCCAAACAGGAGAGCCGCACAGGCCGCGGACCCCGATGTTTGAAAGCTCCTCTCCCCTGACACCCGCCCCCACCCTTCCTTCCCCGGCCCCTCAGTTCCTGTATTGGAGAAGCCCCCCGCCCCCACCGGCTCACCCGTGCGCAGATAGATAGTGCCGCATTCTAAGACTCATGCACCACTGCCTTGTGCTGTGCACAGGTCGCAGGGAAAGAGGGAGTCGTTCACACGCGTGCCCCTCCCACTCCTCCCCTCCTCCTCCTGTGCGCGCCCACTCCGCCCTCTCCCGGCCTCCCCCCATCGCAGACCCGTCACTGGTTGTGGACGTCCTCCCTGCGGACAATCTTGTAGATGATCCAGTAGAACATGTTGAAGATGAGGAAGGCCATGGGGAAGCCGATGCGGGATATTTTGTCAATCTTCTTGGCCCTCTGGATGAAGAGTTTCCGCATCTCCTCCGGGGACTTCGATGGCGCAGGAGGAGGGTTGGTGGTGTTGTTGTTATTGGCGCCCTTGACCGAGATGCCGTCCTTGGCCTGCAGGCAGGCCGGGCCCATCCCGTAGGCGGCGAAGTTGAAGCGGCCCTCTCCCGCCTCGTCCTCCTGGAACAGATTCAACATGGGGCTCTACTTAAAATAAGACAGGGGCTGGGCACCCTCCCTGCAAGGCACTCCCGGGGCCGGGCCATGCCCATCTGGTTCTCCCTGCCGCCCGGCACCACCGTCCCAGGTTTCCGAAGGCTTTTGGCTGGCCGGGGAGTTATGCCTTATAGAGGGGCGCCGCTCACGTGCCAAACAGATGCAAACCAGGGGATGGAAATGTGGCAGGCCGTCTTGAGACCTGTGTTCAAGGGTTGCTTCTGTTACCTCGTGGCTGTATGACTTTAGGCAAGTCTTCTGTGAGTCTCGGGGTTTATTTTATTTCATTTTTAGCTGTAAGTGGGGCTAAGAGTCACCCCACTACCTCAGAAGGTTCTTCTGCCCATCAGAGGTTTTAGATGAGCAGGCATCCGAGTGCTGCTTTATCAGAAATCCAGGGGACAATTTGGAGAGATCCCCTGCTTTGCTTCTGTTGCCTCCTTGCCCCCCTCCCCCACCCCCCCATCCCAGTTCATGTCTTTTCATCTGTGGGTTGCAGGGAGCGGGAGAATGCTGTGGAGGGAGCAAGAGCTGGGGGCCTCACATCCGTTTCTGAAGCCAGGGAAGCCAAAGCTCCTTCCTACCTCCACATTCCCTCGTCCCTGGTGGCTGTGGCCTCAGCCCAACCTCCAGACTTGGATCAAGTCATCATTCAAGGCCCTTCATTGTTTGGCTCCAACTTACCTCCACAGGGCACCCCCCCCCACCCCGTTTGCTTTGCTCCCTGCTGTCATTGTCGCACTTTCTGTGTTGTCCCTGCACACCCCACTGCCCTGCCTCATGCCAGCTCCCAAGGTGCCTGCTGCCCTGGCCCTTCTTGGCCCCCCTGCTAGCATGCCAACCGTGCCCTCATTGGAGTCCTGGAGGCCCTATTACTGTCTGCTCTTGAGTCCCCCCCAGTGTTTGCTCCGTGTGAGCTCTGAGGTGGCCCCGAGGGTCTCAGCTGAGGTCTTGATTCTGCGTGTGGCTCTGGGGAAGTGTTATCAGCTCACGTTGCCCTTCAGGTGGTGGGAGCCTTCAGAGGGGCAGCCCTGTCTCCTGCTGGTCCCCGGGCATGTCAGGGTCAACCAAGCCACTGGGGCCTCTCCAGCTTGACTCCTGCCACCCTATTTTGGGCTGCCACCTGGCCTTGTGACCACTTTCAGCGTAGTCTTCCTACTGCCTCCAGGAGACCTTTCCGGTCTCACCTGGTGCCCGCGTCTATCTGGCGTTCTGTGCTCTGGTCCCCTGGACACATTTCCGTGTATTCAGAAGGGCCATGCACTCTCTCTTTGACTGGGGCCTCTGTTCGAGTCACCCTCTGCCTGGGGCCACTCCACTGCAGCTCCGCTTCCAGCTCCGCCCCTTTCACTCAAGGAATTCTGACTCAGAAGCCGTCCGGAGCCCAGTGACAGGCTCCGCGTCCCTGCTCTGCTTCATGAGGTCCCTGTGCAGCCACACCCACTGACAGCTCTGAACACTTTGTATTCTCTGATTGACATCTGCCTCTCTCACTAGACTGTAAGCCCCACGAACACAGAGGTGCAGTCTCTCATGTGCACGGACCCCTCAACACTAAGTGAGCATATGAGCAGGGCAAGATCACCGTAAGCTCATAAAGGGAGAAATGAGGAGGATGAGGGCAACAAGCTGGGCCTGTCACTAGTAATCTGCGCTTGCTGGAGGCTGCCGTGTCGGGAAGTGGGCTCTGGGTATGTAGGGGATGCACCAAGTTAACTGTCTATTGGGTTGGCCAAAAAGTCCGTTCTTTTTTTTTTGTAAAATAAAAGACACATGTTTTATTTTCACCAATAACCTGGTTGATCTGGGTATCTGAGTGTGTCGGCTACCTCCCGCTACTGGATCGTAGTGGGCAGAGGCCAGGGCGCTGCTGAACCTCTGCCCGTGCAGAGAGCAGCCCCACCGCAGAGAGTTATTTGGCCGAATGTCAGGAGCACCAGGAAACCACTCTGACACGTTCGATCAGTCACAGCGCCTTCTCCACACACTGCACATATAGTTTTTGCATTTCAGTTACATTATACCTTTTTTTTTTTCAGAAGTGTTATTTTATTGGCCAAAGTTTTAACCTGCGCAGGGGCGGACCCTCACGGTGCTCATGAGAGCTGCAAACGAGAGCTGCCCTAAGCGCTTACAGCTAAGTCTTTGTTTTTTTTTAAATTTTTTAATTGATTATGCTGTTACAGTTGTTCTATTCCCCCTTTATTCCCCTCTACCCTACCCCTCATCCCCACCATTACCTCCCCTTTAGTTTATGACCATGTGTCTCAAGTCCTTTAGATTCTATATTTCCCATGCTATTCTTGCCCCCCCATCTATTTTCTATCTACTGTCTATGCTACTTATTTTCTGTACCTTCTCCCCCCTTCTCCTCCTCCCACTCCCCTGTTGCTAACCCTCCTTGAGATCTTCATTTCTATGTTTCCACTCCTGATCTAGCTGTCCTTTTAGTTTGCTTTCGTTTTAGGTGTGGTTGTTAATAACTGTGAGTTTGTTGTCCTTTCACTGTTCATGTTTCTTTAACTTCTTTTTCTTAGATAAGTCCCTTTAACATTTCATATAATAAGGGCTTGGTGATGATGAACTCCTTGAATTTGATCTTATCTGAGAAGCACTTTATCTGTCCTTCCATTTTAAATGAAAGTTTTGCTGGATAGAGCAATCTTGGATGTAGGTCTTTAGATTTCATGACTTGGAATACCTCTTTCCAGCCCCTTCTTGCCTGTAAGGTCTCTCTTGAGAAATCCACTGACAGTCTGATGGGGACTCCTTTATAGGTGACTGTCCCCTTAGCTCTTGCTGCTTCTAGGATTCTCTCCTTCATTTTAATTTTGGCTAATGTAATTATGATGTGCCTTGGTGTGTTCCTTCTTGGGTCCAACTTCTTTGGGACTCTCTGAGCTTCCTGGATTTCCTGGAAGTCTATTTCCTTTGCCAGATTGGGGAAATTCTCCTTTATTATTTGTTCAAATAAGTTTTCCACTGGTGGCTGTGCCTTTCCTCCTTCTGGTACCCCTATAATTCTGATGTTGGAGCGTTTAAAGATGTCCTGGAGGTTCCTAAGACTCTCCTCATTTCTTTGAATTCTTGCTTCTTGACTCTTTTCTGTTTGGCCATTATTTGCTTTCTTCTGGTCCACTCCATTGATTTGAGTCCCAGTTTCCTTTTCATTGCTATTGGTGTCCTGTGCAATTCCATTCATTTCAATTAGTTTCGCCTTCATATATTTGTCTAATTTGTCAGTATAATCAACCAGTTCTGTGAGGATCCTGATCACCAATGTTTTAAACTGTGCATCTGTGAGTTTTGCTATTTCTTCATCGCTTAGATCTATTGGCTCTGGGGCTCTGAGATCCTCCTGCGCCATTCTTGGTCTTTTCGGGCCCTTTAAGTGTGAGAAGCGGCGCTTGGATTCCCAGGTCGCTGGGTTGTGATGCTGTATGTGGGGGCGTGGTCAGAGCGGGGAAATGGCGACCCCCTCTGCCGCTTCTCACAGTTGGGTGCGGAGGAGCAGTGCCTTAGGTGGTTCACCTGGGCCGGGCCACTCAGAGTCGCTGGGGTATGTGGAGGTGGGGTCAGAGCAGGGAAATGGCAGCGCCCTCCACTGCCGCTTGCCGTGGGGACCTGCCAGCCCGGTCCAACCGCCCACTCCCTTGCCTGTCCACCCGCGCACAAATGCACGACCTCAGTCAACACGCAGCCCCGCTACCCCGCTGTCTCCCCCGCCGTCGCTCGCCTGGTCGCTCACTCAGTTGCTCACTAGGTCTGACCCTGCGCCTGGATTCCGCGGGCCTGAGTCCGTCTGGCCGAGTCCTCCTGTGCAACCCTGCTCCGCCAGCCGCTGGTTTCGCCCCTTACCGGTCAGGCTGAAGAATTTGTTGTTAACGGACTTCCGAAACGTTCAATTTTCCGTGTTCTGGCTGTGTTTTCTGTTGCTAATATTTAGTTTTCTCTAATCTTGGTTGTGTGAGAAGGCACGGCACATCCACTTATGCCTCCATCGTGGCGGAAGTCTTACACCTTTCTTGAAATAATAAAACATGATGCGCTGAAAATGTTGCTTATCTTTTTCCATCTTTAATATTAAAGTGGCTGCACAAAAGTTCACCAATTTGATAGGTTTTTTTAATGCGCACTGATGTGATGGCTGTCACAGCACAATCTAACCAAGTTGTTTCCAATGAAGTTAAAGACAACTGAGCACTACTAGAGCCATCCCATGGGAGAAATGTAACAGACTTTTTGGCCAACCCAATAATTTTGGGTAAATTATTCCCTGCCTCGTCTGCTAAGCATGGGAGTGGAAGGGGTGGGTGGGAACTGGAGGCCCCATCTGGTTAGATGACTATCAATTTCACTTTGTAGCCGGAGAAGGGAAATTCTCTAGACACAACTGAACAAAGCCTTCTATTCCTCTTCTCACCAGCAGGTGGCAGGAAACGAATGCCCAGAAGCATCTGGAGCTGCCTGGGGACCAGCCAGGGGAAATCCTGTCATACTCTCTGGAACCCAGGGAGGCTGGGATTGTGCCCGCCTAGTCCACCTCACAGAGGCTTCCTAATACTCTGACTAATGAGGCCCTTCAGGAATTTGAGAACCAGATGCTTTCTGCCCAACAAATGAGGTAGCTTGGGAGGATGGTGGGAGTTGAGGGGCCTGGCCAGGATCCTCAGGCTCTGAGAAACACAGGCATGTGGCTAGTTTCTCTCCATTCACCATCTGGGGATTAAAATCCCTCTGTGTACTTCCTGCAGCCCGAGCCTGGTCACTGCCAGTGTGTGAGCCACACCAGAGTGGCCAGCTCCAGCGGAAGCTCTTAATGGCGAGTCTAACTCTGTGTCCTTATAGGTCCTGACATTTGTGCCAAGTTCAGAGCTCTTAGGAACAAGGTCAGACGAATTTGAACATCTGCAAGGGACTGGGCAGGAGAAACGTGAGTGATGAAGTGAGCTGGGCTGAAAAGCCTGTCCCGTCAGGGAGGGCCGTGGTAAACTGCGCACTGCACCCCCTGCCCGGCGGCATGTCCAGGGCACCAGCACCACGTGGGGTGTGCGTTCAGTGGGGCGGCAGGCTGTGATTTTTTGAGAGATATTAGACGTGTGGTTTTTAAATGCTGGCACCTTATTCCAGATTTTTAAGATACTGCTGGTGAAATGAATGATATTTCCATGCTGAATTTGACTTTCTGGCTACTAGTTGTTGACCTCCACCTTATTATGGTTCTTATTTAAGATCCAATAAATGCAAGACTATTTTTACCTGCTTCAGTAAGGAAACACTGATGGTTGATAGCAATTGATGCGGCACAGCTAGTGTGTGGGAGGAGCCGTGGGCCCTTGAGCCCTGCCCCTGCCTTTACCTTCAGGGTCTCTGCGGTCCTGGGGACTGGCTCCTCCCCCCTGCCATCCCTTGCCCAGGCGGAGCGGCTGGGATGCTCTTTGAGGGGCCCTTGCAGGTTGTGAAAGAGCCAGCAGGGAACCGCACAGCAGAATCTGATCAAATCTGGTCAGCAGCCTTATCCACACTTTACCTGGCCAGAGTGAATGTGTCTGTTTTCCTCTAGTGTGTCACACTGGGAGGGATTTGGCAAGGCAGGAGGCAGCCTTTGGAAGTACCACAGGTCCACCCTCTCACACATCTGCAAGGGGTTCCATTCACATTTTAGCCTGTGCAAACAGCGCCCCCTGGAGTTGTGAAGTGCACAGTCTAGTGGTCTGGTATTAATCATCTTTTAGCAAAAAGCCACTAGCCCGTGGGAAAAACGAAAAGTAAAAAGTAAATCCCAGAGACAGTCGTGTTTGGTCAGTTCCTCACTCAGATTGTTTTGGGAGTCAGAGGCTGGAAATCCAGTGGACAGTAATGGAAGGACTGAAACTAGGGGTCCTATGGAAACGCTTTCTGGCTTCTTAAATATGGTGTCCTCTCCCCGTGCAGGTTGTATCTTCACTCCCATGGCACCTTCCGTCCTGGAATGTCTGCCTTCTGCCTGTGGTGAACTGTTAGAAGTTAACGAAGTCAGATCGCTAATGTTTAAGACACACGAGTGGAGAGGTATGCCTGTGTAATCATTTTAATCCCTGGCACTTGTGGCGGGAACAAACCTTAAGGCCGCTTTGGAATCTGATTTCATCCGCACCACAGCCCCCCTTATGCCAGCTTTAGTCCACGTTACAGAGGGAAAAATTCGGCCTCAGACGAGGCTAGCTTCGAGTCCCATACCAAAGAGAGCTAAAGAGGTAGGTCCTTTGTCACAGCGTGGAGTCCTTTGGTGCAGTGGCATGGAATAGGTCAATCTGAAACGTGTAGTGCCTTGGTGCGTGGCAGGCGTGTGGTGTGGCCAGACAGGTCATAGCGTATGGGTTCTTGGTTGCCCTAATCTGTTGCTGGAAAAACTTCCAGGCGGGCTGTCGGCCTGCACCTCGGCTCCTTTGCTGTTCCTCTCTCTGCATGCCCCACGGATGGCTCTTACACGTTCACTATGTGTCAGGCTTTGTGTTGGGCACTAGGCATGTATTGCTGCACAAGAGTAGACGTGGCCTCTGTCCTTATGAAGGTTACAACTCAGTGAAAGAGATGAGCATTAAGCAATCACATCACTGAATGTATAATTACAAGTCAGGGTAGATGTTCAGAAGGACAGAAACTGGGTTTGAGCAGAACATGGCCTTTGCTAGTGCTCACGGCCTTTGTGCAAATCAGGGACAGGCCTGCCCTTCAGGAACTTGTGATTGGAAGCCTTTCCTCTGGCTAGCACAGCCCATGCCAGGGCACAGCGTACAGGAGAGGGCCTTGCTGGCTGGGGCCCTTGTAGGACATGACCTGTCTGACTGCACTCGGTAGCCTTGTAAAGGAGCCTCAGTCCAGGCCTGGGACCCTGGCCAAGGTGTCGGGGAAAGACAGCTCAGCAGAGGGCTGGGAAATCAGCTGCTCCCTGGAGGAGTATCCCAGGAGGGAAAAGCAAGCTTCCTGAAGACCTGTGTGTGTATTTGAGGAGCTGGGGAGACAGCTAGTGTAGATGGTGCCCGGAGAGCACAGGAGAGGGTGACAGTGATGGGAAGATGAGGCCAGAGAGAAGAGCAGACTGTCTGATCCTGGGGGAGCGGTAGGGACCAGGGTGTGGAGCCGGTGTGCTGCCTCGGCCGCACACTCCCCAGGGGCGTTTGCTGGTTGGACTACAGCCTCCGAGGTCGTTAGAAGAGGGTGGAGACTGTTCAGAGAAAATAGTCCTCTATGCAGTCCATCAGGGAGAGAATCTGTGCTGGGGGAGGATCTCGCTGGATGCCCCTTCCTCGGAGGTTGGGAGCAAAGGCCTGGAAAGTGGACCTGTTACTCGAACACCTCACCCTTCATGGTGCAATTCCCACCTGGAACCAAGCCCCCTGAAATAATGCAGCCCTGCAGAAAAGACCAGTAAGTAGCCCCAAGCCTGCTCTGTGTTGGGTTTCTAGTGAGCCACTAGCTTGGCCCCACCGGCATTTGTACCATCAGCTCTGACTTCAGGCGCACCCTGGTCATTTCTGTAGTATTAGAACCATTGAACCAGTGACCACCTGCAGACCCAGTTGGGGCGTTATTTATGGCAGAGGAAGCTGGAACTTGTGATTTTCATTCCCATTTCATGCCTGCCTCACCCACTGAGAAGGATGGTCCAGCGAAACAAGTGTCATAAGACAAGGCTGCCTGCCGGGAGCTCTGTCGTTTGCCGCCAGCTGTCCCTCCCTAGGCAGGGACCCAAAGGCCTACCTTGTGGTGTCTTCGCTTCCTGCGGAACCGGAGAAGCTCTTTGTGCTGCCGAGACACAAAGTTGACTGCAGCGTACTCCAGCAAGGCGGAGAACACGAAGAGCAGACACACGGCCATCCAAATGTCAATGGCTTTCACGTAGGACACCTGGGTGGGGTGGGGGAAGAACCGGGCAGTGAGGGCAGAGGAGAGGAGTGCTGACTGTGTGGGATGGAGCTCCCCTGTCCCCCACTGCCGTCCCCTCCCCAGCTGGGGTGTTAGCGGGGAGAGCACAGAGGAAAACAGAAGAAAAAGGCCCCAAGAAGCCTGGCCAGGAGGTCGGGCAGAGTAATTGGGAAAGCAGAATGCGGCGCCTGGAGGGGCACTGGAGGGGGGTTCATCGCAGAGCCGAGCGTTGCATGGAGTGTTGAGAGAATAACCAGGATGGGTCTGCAGTGGCAGTAGGGGAGGTGGGAGAAGGCAGAGGCTAGCAGTAGAAGGAGCACAGCAGAGCGAGGCTCCCAGCATTCACAGAGAAGGGGGCAGAATGTGGGATCTAAGTGTGGGTGAATGGAGGAGTATGAGGTGCTTGGCATTACTAGTAAATGAAGCAGAACATTATGTCTGGTGTTACAAGTGAATTAAGCAGAAGGTGAGGTCTAGTGTTAACCGTGAAAGGAACAGGATGGAATGTTTGAGGGAGACTGGAGGAGAATTAGCATCTGCCGTCAGTAATGCATGAAGTGGAATGCCGTGTCTGGCAGTGGAGGAATGGAACAGGATGATGTCTAGCATGGAATGAATGAGGCAGAATGCGTCATCTGGTATTATTAGTAAACAGTGAAATTCAGTGTCTAGGGTTAATAGTAAATGGAGCAGCCTGTGTCTTAATAGTTAAATGGTGAATGTAACAAAACGTGGCGTTTAACATTACAAATACAAGCATCAGATTCAGGTATGCGCGGAAAAGGGTCAGCATAACAGGCATGAGGCTGCCATCCTATGAAGGACCTGCTTGCAAGGCTGGCCCTTGGATGACGTCTGGAAACTTGGATTTGGGGGGGTGTTCCCACTTTCCCTAACTGATAAGTGTGCCTTGATTCCTTATACAAGAACATGGCTTATGCTGAACATCTGCTGCCCTGGGGCTCTGGAATTCTGGTTTGTGCTAGGCACCCAAGCACCCAGAAAAAACCTTTGATTCTGAATCTTAAATGAGTCTCAAAACCATTTCTGTCTCTCTGGGCAGAAACATCTCAGCTTGAGTTGCCGTTTGTTGCTGAGGTAAGAGGGCGCTCTATGTGGTCCCGCACGGGTGGGAGGGAGCAGGCAGGGAAGCCTGCCCGTGGGTCCCGCCAGCCTCTGCCTGTGTCTCTTTCCCATGCCATCAAGCTGTGCGTCCTGAGTGTTCACCGCAAGGAGCCTTAGCCTTGCCCACAACTGCGTGCTGAGGCCGTGAGTCGCATCAAATCTCTAAACCTGGGGGCGGACTTGGAGACCCCCCGACACAAAGTACTTCCCACTGCTGGTGAAGGAGTGGAATGGTGGTCCTCAGCATTAAAACGAATGGAGGAGGCGATTGTTAATAGTAAACAGAGCCGAATGTGTGCTTAATGTTGGTAGAGAATGGAGCAAAACCTGTCTGGTGACCATTGCCTTCACTTTTTCTTTTTCTCATCTTTTTTTGTGTGTGTGTGTTTATACTGAACATAATGTTAAATCTGGAGGAAAGGTTCAATGGATCAGAGTGCTGGGTCCTACTATGTGTGGCAGATGGAGAAATAGTGACCAGTTCCTCGTGCTGGCCTATCTCAGGCAGGGCAGGGAGAGGAGCAGCCTCCCCGCCTGTGCAGGTACTCTGCGCACTTGGCCCTCACCTTGGGCAGGGATGCTCGAGAGCCGGAGCTCTGGGTGGTCATGGTGAGCACAGTGGTGATGCCCAGGCCCACACGGGCGGGTGCGGCGTCCATGTTGATCCAGAAGGAAATCCACGAGAGGATGACAATGAGCAGGCTGGGAATATACATCTGGATCAGGTAGTAGCCCATCTGTCGCTCCAGGTGGAACCGGGCCTCAATGCAGGTGAATTTACCTGGAAGGCATTACAGTGTGAAGGCAAAGTAGCCTCGTGGGTAGGAAGGACTAAGATTTGGGGGTCAGAACAATCTCGGCTCTAGTCCTGGTTCAGCACGATAGTCGCGTGTCCTTCGGCAAATGTTTGACTCCCGCTGTGTCTCACTTGTCTTGTCCATGGTAAATTGGGGAGAATGGCGACGATGACAATAATAGTAGTAATAATAGTAATAAGCCTACCTCACATGTTTACTGTTATGGTTACCATGACGAGGGAATGAGATGGTGCCTATAAAGAATGTTGCACATCCTCACACCTCATTAGTGCTCAGGAATGCCAGTTGCTGCCATCCTCATCATCACTATTTTGTTGCAAAGAGTGGGCTGAAGTGCACCATCTACTCCCCTTCCGCCACTTTTCTTCCCAAAACATGACTTGATCCTGTTCCTTCCTTTTGCAAAACCTTTCTTTCCCTCCTTTCTTCTCTCCTCATCCAAGAAGGTCCCCTTTACCTGCAGGGAGGGTTCAGCCTCTGTAGTCTGCCCCTCAGGATGGAGGATGGAGCGCTACCTGTTTTCCAACCCATCCCCCTCTTTCTTCACCGTAGTCGCCACCACCTGCACTCCATCCCTTGCCCGGAGCGTGTTTTCACACTTGATCTTGCCAGTCCCTCTGCCTGGAATGCCCTGACTCCTCCCCACAGGCGGCCCAGGCAACCCTCCTCTTCCTCCACCACCGGAGTTTACACGCGAGGTCTCCCCCAGCACGGCGCCTTTTCCTCCTCCGTTTGCTCCTTCAGCCCCGAGGTAGAGAGCTGAGCTAGAGAGAGGCGGCGCCCCACGTCCCCTTGTAGCTGACAGCCCAGCGGCTTCTTCCCAGCTGCACTAACTTCAGTGCCGCCTCTCAGCTTCCCCCTGCTGAGGTCTGACGTGAGCACGGTCTGTGCCCGGGCCCCATCAGCAATGCCAGTCCCTCTGTGACAGAGACGGCCAGGTGTCCTCCCCACAGCGGCTCTTCCGCCTGAGGAATCAGGCCCGTTTGAGTGAGGTGCACTGCCACCTGGAATGAAGACTGTACCTCCGGCTTTCTTTGTGATGAGCTGTGGCCTAAACTCCTGCTACTTGCCCCAGGACTCACAGGAAGAAAGTGCCAGAGCCACTTTCTGGTTTCAAAGAATATTCTCTTCACCACTGGTCATAAACACACAGCTACGCCCACCGTGACTGCCTCATACGGTCTGCTGAAGCAATGGCTGAGTGAATGTTTGAAATGGCCTCTGGCCCCCGGTGGGGGGTGGGACCTGAGGGCAGCCCCTTGCACCCACCTGTGTTGTAATGCTTGGTGCAGTATCTCAAGTCCTTCTCCTCCTTCAGGATGAACTGGGGCAGGGTCAGTCCATCTGCCACCTGCACAGCTCCCTGCTCTTGCCACTCAAAGATGAGGTCGTTCATGGTGTACCCAACTGGGATGGGATCAGAAGGAGCAGTCACCACCCAGAGGCACTTACGTGGGGCATGTCAGGGTTGGTCAGGGTAGAGACAGAGGCATCAAATGCTCAACAGACTTACGAAACCGATTTGCTCCCCTCCCCACAAAGGAGGTTAAACCTGGTTTAATTGTTTGCATTTACCCCACTACCCTTCTCCCTCTCTTCCTACCGCTCCCAGCGCCCTACCTTAGCTTGCCCTGTTGCCCCCTTCCCCTCACCTCCATGGTCAAGTTCAGCTGACATCTGCCATTTGTGCCTGTGCATATCCTTGCAGGTTCCGTCTTCTGCCCACAGCAGACTCTCCTCATGGGAGTGACTCTGCGGTATGCTATTGTGGTGGGACTGTCATTTGGGGGTGGGAGTGCCGGATGGTGGCTCAGCGAGACCCGTCAGACGCTCCGCCCCAGGACTTGACCCTCAAGTGGAGTCAGAAAAGCTTTCAGGGGTGGCCTGTGCTGATTCCCTTTGGAGGCGGTGCTCCAAGGGGAGAGTTTGTTAGCTCCTGCTGCCTGAGTGTGCTGCTCTGGCTCCTCTGTATTTTCAGATTTTCCTACAAGTCTGTGAGGGACCTCCATGTCCTTCCATTTAATTATATTTTAAAAATTAGATTGCTCTCTGGGTTTACTGTCAAAGAATCCAGCCACCTCCCCCACCTGTTAGCATCCGGGTTCACTGGCTGTTCATAAAGCGTCTCCAATGATACCTCTCCCTCCCAGTTAGGAGGAAGCCCTCCTTCTGCTCTGAGGCCACCATTCTTGGTGCTTCTAATAGGACCGGTCCCACTTGCTGCCCTGTGCCAGCCAGTCATCTCTCTGCCCTGTGGGAACGAGCGTGCCCATGGGCTCCAGGACCGTGGCTCATTCAGACTATTTTTCCTGACCTCCTGGAGGGCGTGCTCACAGGGACACAGACCAGTGCTTCCTTGGGGAATGCTGCTGGCCCCCAGTGGGGCCTCAGCCCAGGTAAAAGGAGCTACACTTCCAAAGCATTTTCCAAGAGCTAAGCCCCTCATCTGATATGATGAGCTGTTACAGGAATCTCCTGGGGGCTTCTCTCAGTCAGGAGTTGCTATGTGGGGGTGTCTGCCAGTCCCGAGAGTAAAGGGGGGCCTGATTCTTTCTTGAGGCCTCAGAGAAGGGACTCACAGCTTTCCAGTTGCATGATACACGTCTGGACATCCATGGGAAAATTCTTCAAGTCCATGGGGCAGGCCAGGGTCAGGGTGATTCTGGGAAGAGAAGGGAGTCGAATGAGGCAGGGCCCACAGACCAGGGAAGCTGTGCCTCCATTCTGGTTATGACCAGAAACCAGTTCACTAGGACAGGTCCAGGGGTCAAGGAGGCCAGGGAACTAGGGTTTTTTGGAACCAGTGTTTGTGTATTGCCACACTTCAGGTATGTAAATGGAGGCTCAGAGAGAGAAGTAGGTTTCCTAAGGTCACACAGAGTCAGGGGAACCTCTGTGTTTCCTTGGAGTCCGTCTGGCTTTGGGGGGCCTGCCTTATCTAGGCGCCCAGGGCTCTGGAGGCCGGGCCTCCCCTCCTCAAATCCCTGCTCTTCTGCGGAGACTGAGGTAGGAGCGGGGCCTGAATTTCCCTCTGAGTAGCCCCAGGCCTCAGGCATTCTCAGGGGCACTGGCAGCAGGTGCTGTGAGTGGTTCCTGGCTGCCTCCCTGCATGCCCTTGGCTCATCAAAAGTTACGTCCAAAGGTCTCCTGCCTTCTGGGTGTCCAAACACAGCTGGCTCACATCTGTGAGCTCATGCTGGGGTCAGCTGGGAAGTGGTGGAAACCCCAGGCTTCTGGGCTAGCTGTTGACTTTGGGTTGCTCCACCCTTGCAGAGGCCTCAGACCCAGCGGAAGTCCCCTTAGCAGAATCCGAGCGAGGTCTGCACTCCGGCCGAAATACAAGGCTTCTGCTGGAGAGGCTTTGCCAGCATCTGAGCACCTGCTGCAGGGACTGGAGAGGAAAGGCTCTCAATTGTTAGGCCCATTCCCTCACTTGTCAGGTGAGAAAACCGAGGCGCAGAGCAGGGTAGGCAGGGACTCCTATAAGGTCCCAGAGAAGGCTGATGGCTCAGGCAGGACTTAATACCATGTCGCCAGCCTTGGGAAGCTGGGCCATGTGTTGGCCAGCAGGCTTTCCAGCGCTGCTTTCCCGAAAGGCATCGGGTTGGTGGCAATGTAGTGGCACTTGGTGCTGGCACCTCGGCTGCACACGGTGAGGCCCCAGCCCACATGGATGTCCTCCCTCCAACTCACACCCACAGCTCTGGATGTGGGTCCCTTTAGGCACCAAGTAGAAGCAAGAGGGGGAAAGGGGAGGGGGGGGAAGACGAGGCAGAAGAAGGGTGGTGAAAAGTGAACGCAGCTGATTTCTGAAGAGAAAAGCTCCAAAGTGGGGCAGCTGTCACACTGGGTTAATTTCCTGAAGTTGAAGGACCCAGGGAATATCACTTTCTGCTGATTGGTCCTGCTGCTTGGGGGCTTAGCTTCCCAGACACAAAACTAGCCTGGCAGCTTCAAAATCCAACCAGGGCGACCCCCGCTCCACTGGTCGCCACCCAACCCAGCCAGCCGGACAGGGCTTTCCCGTCTGAATGTGCACTGGGTGGGTGGTCTCCCAGGTGAGGAAGGTGACGCTGCCTCTGGTTCCGTCCAGCCTGCCCCTCTGTGGTGCCTCCTTTCCCTGTGACGGTCTCTCAGTGCCCTCTCCCACCCGTCTGCCCCTCAGTCACATCCGGGGATTGGGCCGTGCCGCCTCTCCCATGGGCCTGGGCGTTTCAAGCTTGTCTCCTAAGGGAAATAGAAAGATTTATCCCCCTGAGGACCTGGAGCCGGAGGGGAGTCATTGAGGACCAGCACTCCCCGTTAAGCTCTTCCAAATAAAAGCATCTCCATTCATTCCTTACACAGCTGCATGTCTACTGAATCCCATGCCCCTGCTCTTCCAGGGGCAGAGTGGGTGTCAGATTAGCTGTGGGAACCTCAGTAAATTACTTAAACTTTCCGATACTTGTCTAATCTGCAAAATTAAACCCACTTTGTGAGGCTGGTAGGAGGATTAGACATCCTCTGTGTAAAGTACCTGGTAAGTACATTCTCAGGGAACGGTCATTTTCTTCCTATCCTGGGGGAGACAGGGAGTTAGGTGGGGCGGGGTGGCAGGAGACGGACCCGTATCTGTGGGGAGCTGGGGTGGGGGCTCCCTAGGCTCTGGGCCAGGCAGGAGGAGGGAAAGCGCCTCTGGAAAGAGGCACAGCCGCCCGGGCTGACACGGGTAAGCAGCGCCTCCACCGGGCCGGCCCAGTTTCGGGGAAGCTGCTGGAACTATTCAGGCGTGTGCCTTTGCTCCTGACATTTTTTTAACAAAGGTGGTAAGAACATTTAACGTGCGCTCCCCCTGGTGACAATCACTGCAGTGTGCACTCAGTGCCGCTGGGTGCCGTGCCGTGTGGCTCAGCAGGCCACCTGGCCTGTTCTCGTGCATCTGCACGCTCTCACTGGGGGTTGCTGCCTGTGAATCCTCTTGTTCCATCTCGTCTCACTGAAACTCTGGGTGAGCTTAGGGGCCTAACTCAAACCCCACCTCCTCCCAGATGCTCCCTTGATCTCCCTGCTTGCAACAAACTGCTTGCCCCTATGACTTCCCATGGTATTTTGTTCTCACTCGCTGAGTGTAAATTGCAGAGCTGGCCCTGCCTATTTGGCAAAGGTGTTGGGTTCTCAGGGCCCATTTGCCCCCGTTTGACCCCTCTCTTAGAGTCTGCTCCCAGAAGGCGGAGGGTGAGGCACTTCCTGAGGCTGGGGTGATGAGCCTCCGGGGGCTCACCTGATGCTGTAGAGGACATTGCCGTTCCGGGAGATCCTCAGCAGCTTGTTGTCCGTGGTGATCTCGTGGAAGTGGGCCCCCTTCTCGTTGGCAAAGAACAGGTCGGGCTTCCAGATGGAATCCAGCATGGAGGGGTCCAGGTCCAGGGAGTCGTCTGGGTATTCATTGTAGGCCAGCCGGGGGTCATTCCACTGCTGCCGCAGGAAGATGTTGACCCTATAGTCCTGCAGGTGGGGGGGCAGGGAGGTGGGGTCAGCACTGGGCCCTGGGATGTCCACCCTCTGAGGCCCTCATGCCTTCAGTCAGAGCCTTCCAGGGCCCCTCTGGGGGCTCTAATTAAAGCGTGGTTGCAGCTGATTTGGGAGCGAGACGGGAAAGTCCTGCACCAGGCCAAGTCCAAGGGCATCAGCATCATCCCTGAACATTCGCTAACCGTGAAGTGTATTCACCTCTGAACTGAGACGATTTAAACCTTATTCTCTGTTTTGAGACATTAAATAAATAGAAAGTTCAGGCTGATGTCATAAAAACCTGTGTCCATCCTGTCAACATTTTCGTCCTGTGAATGTTGTTTTTTAGGTGAGAGAGGTAATACGTCATAGACGAAGTTCGCGTCCCCCTTTTATCATGAACCCCACCAGTGCGGCAATTCTCAGGGGCACTCAGGTGGGTCAGCCACCGGCCTGGACGGATTGCAGAAACAACAGGACAGACTAGAAGCTGATGCCTGGCTGTTCAAACGATTTTGCCTAAAGAGGACAATTTCTAAGCAGTGAGGGAAGGGTGAGTAAAACTTCTGTAGTGTTCCCCCACTGTGTTTTCACGCCGGCCTTCCGTATCCTTCCCTGTGGTGTGTGGATTTGTGTGGGGAGAATTAACACGAGAGGTGTTGTGGAGTCGCATCTCACTGGGTCCTAAACTCAGCGCTGAGTGAGGTGCTTCTATGGGGCTGCAGGGTAGCTGCTCCACTGATAAAAAGAATTCACGATCAACCAGTTAAGGGGAGGGTTCGGCTAACCCAAATGCAACAGAGCTCTTCACTGTAGGATTTCTCAGAAGTGAACTCAACATGCTAATGAACTGCGTGGCTCTCCAGGAGGGGACTGGACTGTGCAATACTTCCCTGGTGTATGATGGCCGCAAACCCTTCAGTTTGTGCATGATGTGTGTCTTCCACAGAACATAGGTTAGGAATTGCTCTCTTAGTCAAAACTCCTCCCCGCTCCTGTTTCCTGGTTGGGGAAACTTAAGTTCAGAGAGAACTGCATCCGGCCCAGGGTCACTCTGGGAAGGCAGAGCAGAGCTAGTCCTGGCACCAAAGTCCCCACTTCTAGTGAGGGGGCATTCAGGCCTCCAAGGCCAGAAACTGGGTAATGAAATTAAGGAACAGTCACAAAGCTAGTCTGAAATTTTGTGAGAGGGGCTTTAGAAACCTGGGTTCCATGAATGTCGTGACACCGCTAGCAGGATTTAGGGGATACCCGTGTCTTCCCAGGAGCAAGAGCATAGCTCTCTGTTGGAGCCCCGAAAGAGCTTAAAGTTCTCAGAGATGAATAGCCTCAGCTCAGACCCAACTTGAAACGCTCTCCTTCAGGAAACAAGCTTTAGTCACGAGCCCCTGCCGCTGTGTCTTCCCCGAAGGTGCGGGAAGGTGCCGGGTAAATGAGATCACGCTGCATTTTCTTTGGGGCGCTGCTGCTAAATGCTAATCACTCCTGATCTGTCACCTGCAGGGGTGAACCGAAACAGACAACCCTCCCCGCCCTCCTCACCCCGGCAAGTTCCTCCCACAGCACACGCCTCGTTCTGTTTGCCTACAGAAGCAGCGATAGCTTCCTAACTGTGCCGAAGTATTTTCTAGAAGGGTTCTATAATTTAATCGAGGCCCCTCCCTGCACCCCCATGGAGAATGACGTTTGTCTCATCATCTGGTAAGTCCCACTGGAGGGAATGTGGAGGGAGGACTTCAGACCAGCCTGGAGTAGACTCTTTGGGGTTTAGGCTGTTGTTGTCGACAGTCGCAGACAGCTTCTGGTTGGGCCCCATTGGATCGGGGGTTAGATACAGCCCTTTTCCTGGGATCTTACAGGAAGCGTGTGTGTGTGTGTGTGTGTGTGTGTGTGTGCACACGCACGCGCATGTGCAATGAATCAGGGGTCTGGCCATGTCAGAGTAAACGGACTATGGATGGCTGGGCAGAGAAAGCCTTCGGTCCCCAAACCCCAGCAGCACTTCTGATGTTCTTGCCAGTGACATGTCAAGCCTGTTTATGTAACTGGTAGGAAGAAAAGAAAGTGGCATTTCTTAAAATGGTCTGTTAGGCAGCAGGTGCTGCTCTAGATACTGTCACGTTTAATCGTTACCAAAGCCCTGAACGTCAGACATTCAGATTCCCATGGTAAGAGGAAGGAAACTGAGGTTTTGAAGGCTTGAGAAACGTGTCCAAGGCCCAGAGCTAGTAAATGGCAGAGCTGGGACGTGAACCCGCATCTGCCCGACCCTCAGGGAGCAAGCACTCGTTCTGGACGGGCCACGCATGTGGGGAGCCAGCTCTGTGCCAGGACGCGCTCCCACCCTCATGGCCCAGGTAAATTCTGCCTGCTTAGCTGAAGCCTCATTTCCTGGAGGAGTCTTGGTGCCCTCAGGCTCCCCTGATCTCTTCCTTTTCTGATCTCCCAGCAAAACGGAATCACCAGGAACATTTCGTTTTGCACTTCCTCCCTGTGTGTGTCTCATCTCCTTAACTTGACTGGCAACATTTGAGAGGATGAATCTGAGTTTACCTTCTCCTGCACAATCCCACTGACTCCCCCAGTCAGTGCATCTGGGAGCTACCCAGTACCCAGGATGGGGGTGGGAGGGATAGGGGCAGGGGCCCGGGGAAGGACTGAGGAGGAAGAGGAGGAGGAGGCAAAGGTAGGAGAAGTTGGAACAGGAAGAGCTTTCCTCATTTTATAGCTGGAAAGACTGAGACTTGGAGAGGGAAGGCATTGTCTAAGGTCACACAGCAAGTCAGTGAAGGACCAGGGATTAGAACCTGAATCACTTCTCTGGTAAAAGAAGGAGTTAGGCTAGATGATCTCTTAGAACCCTTCCAAATCTAATAGTTACTAGTTTTAACTAGTAGCTAGTAGTTATTAGTTTGCTTTTTAAAGAAGATTTCACTGAGCATCTAGTAAGTGCCAGGCACTGTTCTAGGCACTGGAGAATGTGCTGGGAACCAGAAAAACATACCTGTGCAGTCCCAGACCTGCAGCGCCGAGTCTACAGCACCTGGAGCCTCAGGTAGGGACTAAGCCCAGGGTGCTAGGCAGATAGAGAAGACAGCCCCCCAATCCAGACTTGGGGTGGTAGTCATGGAGGCTCCAGGAAGACATGGTATTTAAGGTAAGGCCAGATATGGTTGAGCCAAAGCAGAAAAGCATTTTGGGCAGCTGCAACGGCATATGTGAAGGCCTAGAGACAAAGCAAGCTGGGTGCCAGTGCTGTGCTTTGGAGAGAACAGTGAGTGACTGTGGGGGCGGGGAGGGGCGGAGGGGAAGTAGGCAGGGCCTCTCACGCCCTCCTGAGGAGTAGTGTGGCCCTCATCCTGGGAGTAATGCGGGGCTCTGAGGGGTTTTAGCTAGGGAAGGACACTATTTACATTTGCACTTTATTACTGATATTTTATTTTATTTTTAATAGGAAAAGGACTGCATTTGTTGATTGTATACATCTATTGATCTGGCATATAGTGGATACTTCAACATACTATACATCCATCATTCAATACTCACATCACTAGAATTAGCTTATTATCCTCATTTTACAGTTCTTCCCATCTGACAGTTGAAGGCATTTAGGTTCAGGGTAATTAAGTCATAAATTCACAAAGAAAATAAGTGGCTGGATTCTAGTCCATACTGCCACTGCAAAAATGCATTGTGAAGAGTACTTTCATGCTAAGTACATGGGTACAAACATATGGTATTTTTTCATGGACATAGTCCCTATTTTGTTATCACTGCTTTGTAAAAATATTTAATTTTTTCTTGCTATAGAAGCAATGCACGTTGATTGTAAAAATACAAACATACCTCACCTAAAGAAGGAAGAACCCTGCAGGGTCTCAAAGTGAAACGACTAGTGATGGGCGAGGGCCCGGCCTGGAGCAGGCGCCTGGGTGCTCAGGCAGCCCGTGCAGCCCGTGCAGCCCGTGCAGCCCGGGGCCCGTTCCCCGGCAGCCCCGCTTCTCCCTGCAGCAGCTGCTGCCTGAATGAGCTGTGCCATCCACTGTTCCCTCCTCCTTGGTGAGCAGCAGTGGCACTGCAGTGCGGAAGGGATCGATGGGATTGGTGTAATAGCCTGAGAGCTGAATGCTGTTTTGCTTACTGAGCCATGTACTCACGAAGCAAAGGTGTTTGACATGGTGGGGTCCATGTTCAGGTTCATGGCCCCAGGCAGCAACATTGGAATCCTCTGCCTGATAATCTCAGGTTCCACCTCTGGCAATTGGTTTCTAGATCTCAACCTCTCAAAGGTGGCCCACCTAAGTCTGAGGCAGGGGGGATTTCCAGAGTTCTAGTTCAACAATTTTTAGCATTAGCTCACCGATCTTGCCTTTAAGATTCCCTCGTGGTCTGATTCTGGAAACTGGGCAATGGCCACGCTGGTCAGACTAAGGTGGAGAGTTCATTCATTCATTCTGTCATTCAACAAGTATTTATTGAGGGCTTTCTGTGTGCCCCCCTGCCCCTGCCACAGTGTGTCTAATTTCAGATTCTAACCCTGCCCAGTAAATTTCTCTAAACTCAGTATTGTCTTGAAATAGCGTGAGGTGCTTTAGTGTGAAAGAGCTAAGAGCCTGGTGAGTGTGTTGGTGGGAAGGGGCTGGGGAAGGCAAGATGTGTGCCCACTGCAGTCAGAACCAAGAGACACTGCCCAGGAGGTGGCCAGAGAACAAGATGTTTACACCTTCCTTAGCTTCAGCACGCCAGCTCTGAAGGGGTGTGTCTCTTCTAAACTCAATTCAACTCCCTAAACATTAGGCCCAGAGGGAGTACTGTGACCAGGGAGGCACACAGTCTTGATTTGTACCCCTGCAGAGCTTGAAGTACCCAGCAGGCAAGGCATGCTACGGACAAAACCATCTACCACACATACCGAGAGTGATAAGCGTCATAAGAGGTTGTAACAAATAGCCACTTGGTACTGTTCCCAAGTCAAGGAGAGACTCCCAGCCAGG